AAATTAAATTCATAAACTAAAAAAGAACTGAAAATAATATTCCATGAAACAAGAGCCACAAAGCAAGTAGTAGCAGCTATCCTACTTTCAGACAAATGAGACTTCAACCCAAATCTGATCAGAACACACAAAGAATGTCACTACATATTGGTTAAGAGATCTATTCAACAGGAAGACATAACAAATATAAATATACACACCAAACACCAGCACACAAAATTCCATGGAGTAAACACTATTGAACATAAAAGATCAGATAAACATACACAGAGAGAGACCTAAATACCCCACTGTCACAAACAGATCAACTAAACAAAAAATAAATATCAGAGTTGAACCACGGTTTTGAATGAATGGATTTAGTTATATCTACAGTGGTCCACCTAACAACGGGATACACAATCTTCTCAGCAGCACATAGAATTTTCTCCAAAACACACCACATTCTAGTCTATAAAGCATGCATAAATGCAAAATAATTAAAATTATCACTTGCAAATTATCAGATTATAGTGCAATAAAACTAGAAATTTGGCAAAACCAACCACAGATATTATGCAACTACATGGAGGTTAAACAATACATGCTTTAATAATCAATGAGTCACAGAAGAAATCAGTTTCTAGAATCAAACAATAATGCCAGCACAACATGCCAGAACCTACGGGACACAATGAAAGCAGTCCTAAGAGAGAGGTTTACAGCTCTCAGAAAAACAGAGAGCATCACAATGCCCACATCAGAAAAATAGCATCCAAATAAAAAACCTAATGATGCACCTCAAGGTCTTAGAAAAACAAGGACAATCCAAATTCAAAGCTAGTACAAAGAAGGAAATTGTAACTATCAGAGCAGAAATTTATAAAAGAAATAAAAAATACAAGGACTTAGTAAGAAAAAAAAAAAAATCAGTGAATTGAAAAGCTGATTCTTTGAAATAAAAAAGACAAACTTAGTCAATCTTGCCACAAAAAAGAAACAAATCAATGCAACTGGAAATGAAAAAAGCAGTTGCAATCGGCATCACCAAAACCCAGATTACAGTAACTACTTCAAAAACCTGTACTCAAAAAAACTGGAGAATTCTAAATAAGTGGATAGAATCTTAGATAGACTGTATATGAATTACTATAATTGAACCAAAAAGATATAAAAACCCCAAATGTTCTAGCAACATGGAATGAGGCCAGGCGTGGCACACACCTGTAATCCCAGCCCTTGGAAGGCTGAGGCAGGAAGATCGTTGTGAGTTTGAGACCAGCCTGGGCTACAAAGTGAGCTCAAGGCCAACCTGAACTGCATAATGAGATCCTGTCTCAAAAGACCAAAAAAAAAGAGAGAGAGAAAACATTTCTAGTAACATGGAATGAAACCTTGCAACTAAGAAAAGCCTGGGATCCAAAGCATTCACTGCTGAATTCTGTAAAAATTTCAAGGAAGATCTAACACCCATACTCTTCAAAATCTTCAACACATTCCTGCCAGATTGAACCACCAATGGTACATGCATTACTGCCCCTTCAGAAGGCTTGTACCGCTGGGGTACAAACAGATCTAATCACTTTTAATAGTCTTTTATTAATAAAATAAAAGGTCTACAAAGGTACCAAATCTAGTTAGTTACTTGAATCTGAATAATTACTGGCCAAATATAAATATTAACACTATTCAGACCAAGTAAAAAATTATTACAATAATCAACAAATTCATTTCATTAAAAGAAATTTATATTCATAAACAGTTTATCAATAATTAATTCTCTAAATTTTAACATGGAAAGTACCCACTGCTAGTGTATATAATATGCACTTACAGCTGCTGTACCACAAATTAGCTGTGTTAAGGAAGTATAATATGATGACATGTGGTCCGCTAAATGAATGCCTTTCTTTCTGTTACTGTATTCAAAACCCCCCACCCCCCGGAAGCAGTACAAGGCACCTGATGCATGGTTCAAGCCTAAGGGAATGATTCACGGTTGGCTGAACCCACGGATGTAGAATCCATGGATATCCGAGCCAGCTGTTCTCTATCATGCTCTCGGCCCCTCTCTCTTGTGTGTGGGAGGGTGGCATGGAGGACTGAACTTGGGCCGTGCTCATGCCAGGCAAGTCCTCTGACACTGCGGTGCACTCTCAGCCCTTAACTGCATGAGTGAGGCGAATGGTGTGTAAATAATGTTTCAGTAAAGACATTTTAAAAGAAACACAAACAAACCTCTGTTTTTCTAGGGAAGAAACACATCCCAGCAGAGCTAAATCACGCAATACCTTATTTACTTATCCTGTATATGTATCCTAAAGGCAATGGAAACCCACTGAAGAGTTTATAAATAAGGGAATATCGGGTTAGGTATATATTTTCCAAAATTTGTAGCAGACCAGAAAAGAATAAATCTGAACACAAGAGAAAAGTCTAAAGAGGAGATAACAGTGAAAATGAGACCCAAGAGATGTTTGGAAATCAAGATCAATAAAACTGATGAAAGCTCCGAGAGGTAACAGTGATACCAGGTTTCTACTTGCAAAACTGCATGTACAGTGATGTCATTTACAGAGACAGGGAAGAACAGAGATTATATGTTGTTGTAGTGATTACTGCTTTGTGAAAGGGATGAGTGTATCCATTTGTCTGTACTGACTTTAAGATGTCTTTAAGATCTCTAAAATAAAATGTCTAACAGCCTGAGATATACAGTTCAGGAGACCAAAGAAAAACCAAATGCTGATGATACACATTTGGCAACTGTCAGTGGAACAGATAGTAAACCAATGAGAACACAAGGTACAACATAGGAAGAAACAGAAAAGAGAGGGAGCATCAAAATGGAACCAAGAAATAACATGTAAAGAATGAACAAAAAGAAATGAGCTGGCAAAGATTGCAAAATGTCCTTAGGAAAAAAGCAAGGTGGGTGTGGGGTGTCACAGACACAAGGAAAAATGTCTCAAGGAGGAGCTGGTCAGTGTTAAAGGTTGCTTTCCAAAGTAAAAGAAGATGAATACAAAAACTGCTACTTGGATTTAGTGACATGCAGGTATCCTTAGAGACTACAGAAAAGAAGCAATTTGGTACCATGATGGGACAGAAAACAGACTGGAATGGGCTGAATTTTGAATGGAAAATATGGAAATTGTCTAGTTCTGAAGGGGAAATAAGTTAAATCTATAGCCTGAAGAGCACAAAATAGGGGGTGGTTGACAGGTTTTGTATTTTTTTTTTAAATGAGCTAGAGAATCAATATCTACGCAGAAGTTGTAGGTAGTAGGAATGACAAGAAAGAATTAGTAGTGTAAGGTTCCTTAGTAAGAGAGATCCAGAGGACAAAGGAAAGAGCTATGTTTAGTCAGAAGCACGGAACGTTCTCTAAAGCAATAAGAAGAAGTAAGGTCTGTACTACATCTGCTAGCAGGAAATGAAGGTAAATCTTGTCCAGTGGCTTATTTTTTCTTGAAGTGGAAGGTAAAGCCATCTGCTGGGAATGAGCAGGAATGTGGGAGAGTCACAGAGCTGTGAACAGGGAGGTTTAAACAGCTGTCTGGACGGACTTCTTTGGGATGCCCCTTTCTTGTTTCATAATCATTCTTTACTCCTTCCCCCTTTCTATATACCCACATTTAATTATAGTTTTCTAAAATGAAATGACTGCTTGAAAAATTTTGTTGGTTTTATTAGAATCAGAACATAAAATTCAACTTGACCATAATAATGTGTTATTATCACATTAATAATCATCTATAACACTTCCTATTGGCTCCCCTATTTAAAACTCAAAAGCAAGATTCATGCACTGTTTAATATGATGAACTGCAAGACTACCCACTACGCTTACACAGGTAAGCAATCATTCGTTACACTTATGAAGTTTAGCTCCACACATCTAAAAGACACCATTTCTTTATAGTGGATTTTTTTCCCCACAGTACATAACACTGTGGCACTTCTGTAAAATGACCTTAACAGTTCTTCCTTCCTTCCTTCCCAGCCCTGGGTGTCCTGTCACTCTCATTGTGACTCAGTTCTATCCACTTTCAGAAGAGAAGTCTGTTTCTCAGCCCTATCAATCCAGGCTGACCCTATGACAAACTCTAATTACCGAATTCCCAAAATGACAGCCAGTAACTTCCTAACCAACAGTTCAAGAACCCTTTAGCTTCTACTTGTGCCTCTCAGAATGTGTTACTGTGACGTGAAAAAGCGTGAGCTAGCATCTAACACCACAAGGACAAAAAGCTCTGCCAACAGTCAGTACCAACTGCCAGGCAGTTTGGACCAGTAAGCCTCTCTTGAATCTTCAGGTAACTGTAGCCACATGAGAGGTCCCGGGTGTGATTAGGGAAAGAACTACTTGAGTCCAGCTCAAACTATCAATCCAAAGGCTGACCAGTGGGTACCATGTTACAGATTGATGGACAGACAGACAGATGGATGAATAAAAGAAGTTCTGGTGTTCTATTGTACAGTGGGGTGAACACATATAATGATAATCTGCTATATTTCAAAAAAGCTAGAACAAAGGATTTTAATCACCACAAAGCAACAATAAATGTTTGAGGGGATAAATATGTTTAAATGATATACACATCATACAATGAATACTTACATGTAAAATTTTTATGTATGTTAAAAGTAAAAAAATTTTAAGTGCCAATCATAGAATTGTAAGCACATAAAAATGATTTTAAACCACAAATTTTAAAACAATGACCCTTATACAACAACCATTGTTAACTTCCTACAATTTCATAACTCTGTATTGTTTGTACTGTTCTTATGCTATTTTGTAAATGGATGTCTGTTTTCAGTAATATATTCATGAATTTATTAACCACCTAGTATGTGCTAGGACCAGACACTGACCATATACTCTTATCAGTGCACCAGACAACCCAATTCTAAAACACACTATCTTCTTATATACTCACACCATCATATCAATCATTTTCAAGGGAAGAACATGTAAAGAAAGATGTATATAGCATTCTGATAATCACTCTTACCCTCATGCCAAGCACCAAGAATCCAATCTCTTCCATTAATGGGTACTTGCTGACCTGTTGCTGAATCTTCTCAGATGAGGCAAAAGGATCGTAACTTTTTCGCCCTATCTTTACATCCATTATACAGGGCTTAGTAAATTTATGGGTCACATCTTCCAGTTTTAGGTATAAATCTGTTATTGAAGAAAAACCTTAATTAGGGAAAAGCGAACAAATTACTACTCAAGTAACTGCCAAGAGAAAATAAAATGAGGTATCTTAAAATAAAAAAATTAAATCTAGTCAACTACCAACTACCTTCAAAAAAAGACTGAGCAACAAATTCATAACGAGTGTATTGCAGACAAACTTTTATAGGATGTAAGTTAAATATCTTCAACCATGAGCAAAATGTATATAGTACATATAAAGTTTCTATAGGCATTAAAAAGGAAATGAATGAGCTTATTTCAAAAACTATTCCACATTACATTCATTCCCTTTCACTATATGTCATCAATATCTCAACAAGAAATCTAAATATTTTAAAAGTTTACTCTTCATTTAAAATTAGAAATAGGAACAAGCCCCTCCCACAGAGCATACAATACAAGTACAGGTTAAGATATGGTGACTCAATCCAAATGATTATCATTGCCAAACATATATTCTGTTCTTACTAGTTCCACAGAGAAAACAAGTACCTTGCTTTTAACAACACAGGGATTTCCCAAACGTTGATATGTAAATCCCTTTGGTTTCTTGCATATAACTTGCCACAGAAAACTTAAATGGAGATTCACATGCAGTACTGTAAAAGCCCCATTATCATACACAGGTGAACTTCTTATAGTTTGAGCTTGAAAGCAAGATCCAGGTCCAATGAGGAAAGGAAAGAAACTCTTCTCCCCTTTCATGGGTAAAATAATTTCAAAGATGCGAATGAAATGATGATTCATGAAGTTTTAAGGCCCTCATTTAAAAGGCATAAATCTTCTCCTTCAGAGGATATGATATCAAGAGCTAAGTTTTATCCCTTAAAGATAGGAAGAGAGTTTTGACTATGTAGATGTTAAGCCCAAACATGACAAAAAAGAACTGCAGCCCAAGAGCAGTACTGACACACAAGAAGGAGCTCTTCACACTTCTGACAGACATCATCAGGAGAATAAAGGAACACAGAAGGTCTGGACACACACAAGACACAGCAGACAATAAGAGGCACTGGGACAAGTGGGAACACTGACAGAGGAGCTAGAACCCACCCAAGCCTCTGCTTAGAAGATACCCATAGGACGGGAAAGAAAGCAGTACAACTCCCCTAAGCCTCTCTCCCATCACCTCCAATGAACCTGAGCAAAAGGAAACACATCCATACTCTCTACAGCTATAGAGGAACTCAGCAACAAGACCTGTACTCCAAGTACCGAGAACAGGCTGAAGATTCTAACACAGCAGACACTTGTCATTCACAAGTTATCATCAATTCATAAACAAGACTCCAAAATTCCCAAGGTAAGGATGTATATGAGAGTATAGGGAAAGTAGGGAACCCAGCAGCTATTTCCCAGTGTAAGGTTATTTTCAATTTTTCAAGTTTGTAGTGATTAAAAACACAATAAAGTGCTTCTTTTTGATCTGAAAGAAGCTAAAGTTGAGACTTTGAAAATCTGAATATAGAAATTTCTATTTCTTCTTTCTTCTCTTGAAAAAGAGGAAGGCCAGGCGTGGTGGTACACACCTTAATCCCAGCCCTCGGGAGGCTGAGGCAGGAGGGTCGTTGCGAGTTTAAGGCCAGCCTGTGCTACAAAGTGAGCTCAAGGCCAGCCTGAACTGCATGGCGAGACCCTGTCTCAAAAAGACAAAAACAAAAAAGAAAGAAAAGAAAATACAAATGCAAATTCTATTTATGGTAGGAATATAATACATGTTTGCTGAATAAATGTTTGCCCTCCCCATTCCTACTGCCCCAGTGGAACTTTGGACTTGGCCTTGCTCACACTATAATAACTTGAGTCGTTTCTGTAGTACATAGGACTAAATATCGTACCTTTTTTTTTGGTCATTTATTCTGACTAGCCAAATTTGTTTTTCTTTATCTTACTTGCAGGTTCTTGGTATGTTTTATATAATTGGAGTTACCAAATAATTCTTAGATTATTAGTTTATGCCTAAATTTATGATTTTATTTCTGAAAACTAATAAATATCCCTGGACTCTGACAGGGTTTGGTTTCTAGTTCTAATCCTACCTTGGGCTCAAGTGCATGGCCCTTGGGTTTCATAAGACACTCCTATATCCTTATAATAATAAAGTCTTCCTTTTTGTTTAATCAAGCACAAGTCTGTCACTGTAATCTACACCCAAAGAATCTTAACCAAAATGGTAAGAGTTTAACACAAATGCTTTGAAAGCACAGAAAAAAAGTTAAGATCTCAGCTCTATCATTTGTTAGCCAGTGACCTCAGTAGCATTTCTATAGCCTCAATTGTATGTAACACAGAGATAGTTACAGAAACTACTGTGGAGTTAACATGAAGACTAAATGAGACACTGTACTGCAAAGTGCTTAGTACAGTGTCAGTACTAGTTCCATAAATGGAAATTAAAACACTCCCCTACTCCCCCCAAAATAAAATCATATACATTCAACATATACTTACTGTGTAAGGCACTCCTCTGGGACATACAGGTAAACGAAACATGTAAAAACCCTGCCTTCCTAGAGCTGCTTTTTAAGAGTAGAAGTAGGATTTTATTTAGTATAATGCCTGGTACATATATGGTACTCAATGGGCATTTATTACCTGTTAAGTGTACATGAGTGTTAAACGTACACACCATGGATAAATATTAAAATCTGTCAACCATGTTAGATCACCAACAGGTCCAGGCTGGAGTTCAATACTCAGTATAAATAAAAAATTGTAAGATGATTCTCTGGAGTCTACTTTCCCAGGTACGATAACTTAATAACCACAAAATAAAAAGACAGAGTCACAACTCAATTAGGCATTTGATAATGGATATTCTCCGACCCTGAAGTTAATATCAGTTAAATATTAACAAAAGTATCTATTTATTATATATTGATTTTTATCACAAGCCAAAAAATATGTTTCCTCACTGCAAAAATATTCAATCTGATACCAACTTCACGTAGGCCTTACAGTTGCTCAACTACCACACTGTCATTTCCCAAATGAAGTCACTCTCCTATCCTGAGATTACTATTTCATACTTCCATCTGCAATACTCCCAGCTGTTTCTCTGTTTTAACTCTGAAAAATCAGTAAGATAAAATATGGTAAGGATTGCTGCAGAAAATATGACTTTTAAAGGCTACATTAATGATGAAAAATGTGATGACAAGAAGAAAATGTATTCTAAAATGCATCCCAAAAAACATGATAGATACATATGGTCTACCTCTAATAGTTTAGGTTCACTGTGATCAAGGTCAAAAATATAAACTAGACTACATTAATATGATGCTTGAAAAATATGATTACATTCTAAGATGCAGTTTGCAAATACAACATTTTGAATATTAAAAATAGCTACTTTTCATATATAAGCGTGTTTGTATAAGTAGTAAAGATAGCACAATTAACTAGATTTTTTTTTTAAAACTTTGGAAATTCTCCTTAAAACTTACCCCAAGTTTTTGAGAGACCCAAGGCCTGGCATTTGTAAAACCCAGATGTAAAGCTTGGAGTTGGTAGGTATTTGCATAATAAATGAAAAGTAATGGGCTCTTCATGAATACATGGTGTTTATTTCAAGAAGTTATAGTAATTACAAGTACAGTTGAAGAGGTTATGATCAATATTCTAACACTTTTCCATTAACTCGTTTAAAAACTATGTGTATAATTTCTGTTTTTTTAAAAAGATTTTTTGAGATACAAATCATGAAAATGACTACCAGATACTGTATTCCAAAATGCAACACTTTATACTGTTATAAGACTCTTAAGATTTTTTTATTGACTCTAACAATAACATTGTTAAAATGCTGGTGATAGTATAAAATTATACAAGGTTACTCTGAATGAAGAAAATTTTTCTATATTACATACGATTATCTTAAATATAAGGCTTTGTAATATATTATGTATAAAAAATTCCTATAGCAAAGTTTCTACTTGTAAAACAGACTTGATGCTTCATGAAAGACAGACAGAAAGTTCCCCAGAATCAAAGGTAGAAAAATAGAAATATTTGAACTATGGAAGGAAAAAAAAAACCCACTGAACAGATAAATAGTAAAGATGAAATAGTAATCCTTTCCAAAGTAAGACAAGGGGGAGGTCATATAAGAAGTTGCAAGATAACTTATTCAGATCCTTCTAATGAATATTAATGATTCTATAAATTATGAAAACATAGGTTCCAAGTTTCAGTAAGTTTTTTTGACCAGTGTGTCTGTAAAATATACTAGTACTATTTGCTACTGTTTTCATTTCTAAACTGCCCAACGAAAGAGGAAACTTCTGGCCAGATGGGTAACAAATGCCCCACTATGAAGCCAAATACAAGAGAGAAAACCTTGCTTCTGTACCAGTCATTAGCCATTTCTGAGAACAAAAGTTGAAAAAAAAAAGAATTATAAGTAGAGATGTGAGCCCACTGCATGGGTAAAGGGAGCGGAGGGGGGGAGGATGACATAAATGTCAGTTTCTTCTAGTACCTGCTTCTTGAAACTTGGTTAGTAGCTACATCCAGAAACCTACGCACTACAGATTGTATCATATTTGATAGCTCTCAATTTACTCAAATACTTGATTGTTACAGTTTTCTACATCTCTGAATAAAAATACCTCAAGGTTCTTGACAATACATTTACTGGACTCCTCCGTGTTTACACATGCATATAAACAAGATTCATTACATAATTTTCAAACGTAACTCCCCAAAATGTTAATATTAAACCTAACTTGTCATACTCTAAAATTAGATAATGATCAGTGTACAACTCTGTGAATATACTAAAAACCAATGGGCTGCATTCTTTTATAATGGGTGTGTTTTATGGTATGTATATTACACCTCAAACTGCCATAAACAAAGAAACTCTTTATTGGTAAAGATATTCTTATGCTTCAAATTGCTATCGAATAACTTTGTTGAGTGAGTTGGCTTTCTATGTTTTATTACCTTCAATATTTTATATTACTTTGGCTTATAGTTTTGTAAAACTCTTCCTTGAGCACATAAGATACCTAAAAACAAGAAATAGTGCATTTTATACTATATAAAGCACAGTAATGCAAATCATACTATTCTACTAAAATTTAATACAATATCTGTTTTCACAGTCCTGTGACCTGAACATATACATAGGTTTGCCACCTTATATTTATTTCATTTACAATCAAAAGGGTAAGAGCAGAAAGATGATCCCACGATACAACCACCACAATCAAACCTACACAATCCACCTGAAAAAGACAGAAAACCTGGAGACAACTGCTGGTATTGCTGGACCCCAGTCCTTTATTTGCCACTTAAATTTTTTCCTCCTTTCATTCTTGTCATCTTCTCATCTTAGTTACACCAATATTTCTAATTATATTCAGCTAAACGAGAATTCACAAGGCATTTTCATATAATGTGCGGAATGTGGAATATATGCAAATTCATACAGTATTAAGCTCAAAAAGATTACTGAGTTTGTGAAGTTAACAAAACATGTAAATAACCCCAGCAGAACCTAAGTACTTCCTGTGTGAAGTGAATTTAAAAGCAACATACATACATACATACATATATTTGGGACTGAAAGACCTTTAAGTAAAAGGAAGGAATAGAGATTAAGAATGCTTAATTCAGAAATCTAAAATGCACAACAATTCAAAATTTGAAACTTTTTGAGCACCCATATCGACACAAGTGGAAAACTCTACACCTGACTTCACAGGTCAGATCACAGTCAAACCCAGGCACACCAAAAATATTGTAAAAGTTTACCTTCAGGCTATAAGTTGCACATAAAACATGAATAAGTTTCATGATTACCTCTGGTGTAAGACACCTTATTATGTACATGCAAATATTCCAAAATCTGAAAAACTCCTGAACCTGAAACACTTCTGGTCCCCAGCATTTTGGATAAAAGGTACTAATCCAGAAGTTAATAGAATCTTAGCTTTCTTTTTTTCCTAGAGAAACAAAAGACTCCTTAATACTCAAAGCTGCCATCAACTTACTATGAAGATACACACAGGAAGATGCCATAATAACCTGTTAATGAAACTGGCACACTGATTGAAAGAGCCAAAGGAAAACAAGAAAGGAACAAGCTCAAACTGAAGTTCCTTTCTAAATTGCAAAATAAGATGCAGTCTATGTCAGACATCTTTTTTTTTTTTCATACCAGGAATCAAACTCAGGACCTCGCACTTTCGAGGCAGGCACTTATGCCGCTGAGCTATATCCCCGGCCCTATGTCAGAAATCGTGAGGCTTTTATTCAATAGAACTTATCACTAAACTCCAACACAAACCTGCATAAATTTTTGTTTTAATAAGACTATAGGTTACACATAAGCACATTCAACATAAACCTTCCTTCACCATTCAGCTTTGTCAATAATTAGGCAGGCAGGTTGCTTATTTAAATTTTGAGTACTCTGATAAAAGCTTTGAAGAAGCAAACACTGCTTCAAGTATTACCCAACGTTAAAGAAAGGAATTTTCCTTTAACATAGATCATTTTGTCATCTATGAAACTCCTTGGGGTTTTTCAAAAGATTACAACTTAAAGCTTGGAGGTAGGGGATAAAGAAGTAGACCAGGAGACACCAGAAATTACACAGAGGAAAGAGTTTACAGAGAAAAATTCACAGAGAAAAGAGTTTATTGGTATCTTTTTATTACTCAAAATAGGAAAAGAAATTATACACTAAATTAGGAAAGAACATTATATTTACACACCAAGTATTAGTACTGTATACTACTATATTCTATTAGTTCTATATATTAAGTAATATATATATTTATTCAACGATGAGATCAGTCCCTTCAAAAATATATGTACCATTTAATAAAACAGTTAAAAAGCAAGAAAAATTAGTAGAAAAGGATTACAAAGAAAAACATATATTCCATACTACTTTTTTATAATGCCTTAGAAAGTCAGTATCATGAATTAAAAAAAAGATGTATTTTTAAGAAAATACTATAATGCCTTAGAAAGTCAGTATCATGAATTAAAAATAAAAGATGTATTTTTAAAAAAATATTACCATTTGGTGCAGTGGGAGGTGACCAGATACCATAATATTTTGGCAAATATTTTCGTAGCTCTAGAAGAATACCATCACTACAATCAGCAGCATAAACCTGAATCAAAGAGAAATATAACACTTGTTATTGTTTTATAATGCTTTCAAACTGCTCTATACATTTCTCAAATAAAACACAGTAATACTGAATCATAATTTATCTGTTCTACATTCCAGCTGGAAGTATATTCCAATTTGGAATAAGCAAAAAATATCACTGCATGTCTTCAATGAAAATACCACATATTATTGCCAGGCATGGTGGTATACACCTGTAATCCCAGCACTTGGGCAGCTGAGGCAGGAGGATCACTGTGAGGTCCAGGCCAGCCTGGGCTCAAGGCCAGCCTGAACTGCATAGTGAGACCCTGTCTCAAACACAAAAAAGAAAAAGAAAACTACATATTATTTAGAGCCTATTCTACTTGGTTATATAATTCTATACTTTCACTATCATTGAGTTATTGTATAACTATGTAAATTGGAGATAACTGATATCAAATGTAAAATAATTGTTTTTGTTTGTTTTTCTGGAGTACCAGAAATCGAACTCAGGACCTCAAGCTTGCCAGGGAGGTGCTGTGAGGCTGAGCTAGATCCTCAGCCCCTGTAAAGTAATTCTTGTCTACAAACATGCAAATAAATTCTGACCACAGCAGGTTCAATTAACTTCCGGCCACACCCCTGAGAGAGGGGGAATTTATTGTCCACATTTGAATTCATCTCAACTTTCTTTTAGTCTATATAACTTCTGCTTCAATTTCCCTTATTAAGTTCTTTTATTTTTTTGGTACCAGGAATCAAACTCAGGACCTTGCACTTGCCAGGCAGGCGCTTGTGCCACTGAGCTATATCCCCGGCCTTTTTAAACAAGTTCTAATAGGTCAGTCCTATTAAGCCTTCCCAGAGCAGTACTCTTATCTAATACAAATTATTCAACAAAATAAATAAGGATAAGCTCTTTATCTCATTTTATGAACCCAAAGAAACTCTGTATCAAAACTAGATATGGACACTATATGAAGAAAACAATAGTTTAATCTCAGGCTCACAGATTAAAAACATCTTAAGCACTAAGTAAGCAAAATCTAAAAACACAAAGACATGTTCAGTTTTTATTTTGCAAATAAAAGGTAGTAACATTAGGAAAATTATAAATTATCACATTAACAAACTAATGAAAACTCATACAATCATTTCAATAGATACACAAAAGATAGCTAAAAAATATTGAATATCCACCCATTTGTGTTTTAAATTGATTCTTAAAAATAGAAAAGACTCGTGTATTTTCCTGTCCCTGCCTGGCAGCCATGACACGCCTGCACTAAGAGACTGGCCAGACTCTTGCATCCAGGGCCCCACGCCCTCTGGCGGCTGGGAGGTACCAGCAGAGAACAAAGAGCAGCAGAAGCATTGAGCTTAACCATCCACTTCTTTGTCTAGTGTGCACTTGCCTTCCCTGAGAGGTTTGCACTGTGTTCTCCTTGAGCCTTGAGGCCTACAGATGGTGTTACAGTGTTACAGTTTAGAGCTGCAATGTATTCCCAAGCCCAGGTGTTAAAAGCTTCAGCTCTAGGTTGGTGCAGTTGGGAGGCAGTACGACCTTGGGTGGGACCGAGCAAGAGGTCCTAGATCACTGGGGGTGCATCTTTGAAGGGCAGTGTGGCAGAATGGCCTCCCTTTCTCTCATTTTCTGTACCTAGTCGTAAGGGGAACATCTCTGAGACACACACCTGCTATGACATGCTGCTTCGTGACAGGCCCACAAGTAACAGTCAACTGACCATGGGCTAACCACAAACGATGCACCTGAAAAACTTTCCTCTTTAAATTGATTACCTCAAGTACTTTGTTATAGTAATGGAAAACTGACTAACGTTGTTATTGTGATTATAAATGAATCAACATGGAAGCACCTCTGCTGAAGGAACCAACTACAACAAAACAAAACAGAACAAAATGTAATGAATCAACAAAACCAAGAGTGTTTTAAGCAGGACTTAACAGGAGGTTCTCGCAGAAGACCAGAATGCTGACAGAAATGTGAAGAGTAAAGGCTATGGTGATGAAGTTAGAGAGAGTGAGTAATGGAGGCTCCCTGGCGAATTGGATTAGAAGCTACCCTTGTCACATCATTACCAAAAGGGAGAAAAAAGAGACTACATTATATTTAGGCCCTTAGATTTTGATAGAGACTAATCTTAATGGTAATGGGCCTGTTTATCTGGCAGGGCACATTTCATGGCAGCAAAGCACTCAGGCTGCAGCATGTGTACAGTGGGCCATTTTTTGCCAAATTTGTAGTAAGTGAGGCTAGAGGCGTGAGGTTGTCTAAGCCCTTAGGTGCCCATTTTCTGCCAGTGTTTCCCAGGACAAGGAGCTGTAGGATTTAATGTAGGTTTCAGTCTTGCTTTGATCTGATCCTCTTGTCTGTCTTCCCATTCATCTCTTTTGGAATATGAATATTTATCCCCTGCCACTGTATCTTACATGTGTATAACTTGTTTTTTTATTTTTATAATGTCTCACAGTTAATAGTCTCTTGTGAGTCTCAGAGGAGACTTGAACTGCTTAAGCAATGCTGAAAGAGTGAAAGATTTTGAGGACTCTTAGAGATGGACTAAATGCATTTTACACTCGAAGATGAACACGAGCCTTTGGGGGCTAAGAGTAGAATGCTACAGTTTGAAGCTTAAGGGCCGCACGTTAAATGCTTGGTAGCTAGCTCAGCACTACTGGGGAGAGTTAGAGCCCAGTGGAAGGTCTTCCCTCACTGTGTCTCCTGACGTGGATTATGCAAGGCTGGTCTTTTCCTTTCTTTTTCTGCACCCTTCATCACACACTCCCACTGTGAGGTACTGCCTCACCACACTGGCCTAAATTAATGGGGTGCACTGGGCCACATTCTCTGAAACTGCTAGCCAAAATGAGTCTGTTCTCTCTATAAGCCAATTAATGCAGGTATTTGTTATAGTATCAGAAAACTAACAGATGGTATCTTCATCTCTTGCGAATTGTCTCAAGTCCTGACCACACTTTTGTAAACAATCCCTTTATTAAACTGCTACAGTGCAACATTTGGTTCTTGACAAAACCTTGACTCACAGTGTGACAATTTCCTTAATCTGAGAAAAAATGTCTACTACAAGTTCAGTCATATCTTAACAGTGAGATCTTAGGAAGAATTACGGGACATGAATTAGAGGACAGCATCGCTACTCCCACTCAGCACTGAGTCAGAGGACTCTGACAGAAGAGCGCAGCCCCAAACAGTTCAAAGAAAACGCAGAACCACGAAACATCCGCGTCCAGGCACGGTGCACACACTGTGATCCCAGCACTCCGAGACTGGAGCGGGAGGGCTGGCGTGAGCTCAAGGTCAGCCTGGGCTACACAGCAAGGCCCTGTCTCAAAAACTGAAAGATACAACTATCTGTAAAGAAAGGCCCAAAGTCTATTAGATATATACAACTGAATACAAGTTCAGAAAGATACAAGTATCTATTTCATTTTTATATATTAGAAACCACTGTAAGAATAATTTAAAAATACTGTAAACCATGAAAACAAAAAATGAGGTAATAAGGACAAATACAACAGATTATATATATGACCTTTATAGAGTAAATATAGAACACTTTCTTCAAGAGAGAGACATTACAGCCTGAGTATGTAGGTTAGTGCACAGTACTTGCTTTGCATGTGCAAGGCCCTAGGTTTAATTCTGAGGGGGAGACAACGCATGAGTACGTAACAGTTAAAACCACCAATTCTAGTGCAGACTATCTTCAAATCCTATAGTTACAATACTATTTAGATGATTTCTCTCAGATTATTTGAACTAATTATGCCTTAACAAGCACATCTATAAAATGAGGGAACAATAAAATTGAGCCCATAGATTGTTGTGAGAATTAAGTAATTAATATTGGTGAAGAATTTACACAAGTACCTGGTACACAATGTTACAAAAGTGCTAAATAAAATACAGAATGACAATAATTCTATTAAAAATTTAAGCATCCATTTATACAGTTAATTCGTCCACTGAAATATGTTGTCTTTTTGAGACAGGGTCTCGCTGTGCAGTTGAGGCCGTAAGTGAGCTCACTTTATAACCCAGGCTGGTCTTGAACTCTCAACGATCCTCCTGCCTCAGCCTCCCGAGTGCTGGGATTACAGGCATGTGCCACCACGCCCGGCCACTGAAATATTATGAACTATTACAGTAAATGCAAAAGGAAAAAACAACTGGGATGAAGGAAAAGAGAAAAGAAAGAAGGAAGGGAAAAATTATGTATATATGTACACAAGATAGCTAAGATAATTGTACTACTAATTTCTATTGATTTATTGAAAGGAACAGTGAATGGTTAATTAATCAATCTTACATGCCTGTATCTGGTTATCCAAGAGTAACCAATCTGAAGATAACAATATGTAATACAACAACCATTGTTAATTTCCTACCACCTTGTTTCAAATTCTGTATCATTTTTATTACTTTTATGTTGTTTTGTTTATGTCTTTGTATTTGTAAATTTGTCCTTGTTCTTTTCTCTTTAAAATAAAAAAAAGGAAGTATAACTGTACATACAGACATGGTATATTATTATTATTTTTTTTTTTTTTTTCCGGTACCGGGAACCGAACTCTCGACCTTGCGCTTGCCAGGCAGGCGCTTTGCTGCTGAGCTAAATCCCCAGCCCCGACATGGTATACTATTAAGGCAAAAAAAGCAACCTACAAGATCTTATATATAATTTGTGATGGTAAAAGAATTACATATATTTGATAGACATATCCCCCCAAGAGCTGAAAAATTACCTTTTAAACTGTTAAAAATATTTATTTTCATGGGAAAGATGATGTTGAGAAAAGGAATATTTGAACAAAAAGCGTAATTTTTATTCTAAATATCACTGTTATTTAGATTTTAAAAAATGATTAAATAGTAAGATCATAAAAGTTCAAAAGTCCCTGGTTATTAAGTAATGATTAGAATATGACTTGGCATACTAAAAATATTATTAGCTGATACTATGAAATCACTGA